ACCAGTTTGATGGAAGTATTTCAGATTGCATGTGAAAACCCTACACTGTACCCCAGAAGTGCATTAATGTACATAGTTACCATTCAATAAAAAAAAAAAAGAAAGAAAAAAAAAACAGTAAAACAAATGACAAGTAGCCCACTTAGAATATTTATTAAAAATTTTAGGCATTTAAGGTATGGCCCAATATCTTACAAGAATAATAATCTTGTTGATCCTTAGTTTCCCTTTTAAGTGGGAAATATTCCATCCACTTTTAATATTTACAGGCTTATAGGACATCTTAGGAAAGAAATACTAGGCTACAGGTTTCATTACCCAAAGCTTATATACGTGTATTTCCTTGGTAGAGAGGAACAATATTCTGATAACGACTGGGTGTGTCTCTTGAGAGTTACAAATGAAAGAATACGTGTGTTTTATTTTGGGGGGAGGGTTGTTGGTATTGTTTATGAAGTATTGTTTTTATGTTTGTATTCTAGGCTTTTTTGTCCAAGGTTTCCCTAAGCTCTTGAGGTTTCAAGAACATCATGAAAAAATACTGAATAAATTTCTGTCCAAGCTTAAGCAACATTTGGTAGGTAGATGTGACACTGATTGACACCCACCTACCCCAAGAAAAACGCTAGAACAGTCAGATTCAGTCTTTGGTCTCAGTAACTGTATTAATTTCTAGTGTCCTCCATTTCATTTATTATGCAGTTTTAATTTCCAATCATTTGAAAACATTTGATTTCTAAAATTTAGTGTCGATGAACTATCACAGTTCTAATTCATAGATTCAGACTTCTTCTTTGAACCTGATAAATTCAAACAATACAGTATTTAAAGATGTGACTTCTTGGTTATTTTGGAAGATTTTTTTTAACTGCACCAAAAGTCCTGTAAGGGTCCTACAAGCTCTTCTTAGTGAACTATATATATGCTTTACCATAAAACACAGTTTAGTAAAATAAAGATAGCTCACTATAATGTATTAAAGAGGATCTAATCTAAATCTATTATCCTATCATAAGAGGCATTTATTCTTGGATTGATTTTGAGAAACAAAATTTTGGAGAAAAAAATAAGAATAGAATAAAGCAGAAAGCATGAAAAATATTTGTAACAAGATGGTTTTATGTTTAGTGTTGCTGTTTACCTCCAGCAGCCTTCCTAACTTCTAGTATTATATTGTCATATTTTGTTTGCTGCAATCCAGAAATTGTGAGATCTTTGTTTTTTTCAGGATTCTCAAGAAATCTACACAAGTTTTTACACAATGAAATGGTTTTTTCAATGCTTCCTTGATCGTGTAAGTATTTATTTACAAAACTCAATCATAAAATTATAACTACAAGGTGAGGGGAGACTGTTAACCTTATTTCTGTTTTGTTTTGCTTTTAATTATAGACTCCCTTTACACTAAATCTCAGAATATGGGATATCTACATCTTTGAAGGCGAAAGAGTTCTGACTGCTATGTCTTACACAATCTTAAAATTACACAAAAGTAAGAAAATGCTTAATTGTAAAGATATCATAAGAATGAAGATTTATTTTAATCCTTATTTGTCATTCTCTACCCCACTTAAAATTCATTGTTTTTTAATAGTGGTTTAATTAACAGTCTTGAAAGTCAGTGAAGAAATTATCTTCAGTTGGTAATTGACCTTCATTGATTCTTTCTCATGCCTGGAAGCTTACTTACTGTATTGCAAAGGTCTGTGATTCTTTTCTCTTTATATCAGTTTCATATTCACACTTAAGCAGTAGAATGAAATTTGTTGATTTGTAGGTTTCATTAATAAAATTCTTTTTAAAAATACTTTTTTATAACAGAGATAGGGTCTTGCTTTTTTACCCTGGTTGGTGGTATGAGCATATCTCCCTGTAATCTCAGCTTCCTGGGCTCAAGTGATCCTCCTGCCTCAGCCTCCCAAATAGCTGGGTCTACAAGCACATGCTACCATGCCCAGCTAATTTTTCTTATGTTTTTGAGAAATGGGGTCTCACTATGTTGCCCAGGCTGGTCTTCAACTCCCAGCACAAATGATCTTCCTTCTTGGACCTCCCAAAGTGCTAGGATTACAGGCATGAGCCGCTGCGCCTGCCCACACTAAGAATAATATTCTTATTAAGTATTTGTTTTCATTGGGCCCCCTTGTTCCTTCATCATTCTGAACCTCAAATTTGTAAGAGGAAAACAGATACCAAAGAAGGCTGGTCCCTTGGTTAAAAGGGTTTGTGAGGATACAGGGGAAATGCACCGGCTCCATCTCTCCTGGACTGCACTGTGGCCTCTGGGGCAAGTACAGTGTCTGTAGGGGCATAAATGCAGCAGATTTTATTCTTAAAAAAAGAAAAGAAAACTAGGCCGGTGCAGGGGCTCCTGCCTGTAATCCTAGCACCCTGGGAGGCCAAGACAGATGGATCACTTGAGCTCAGGAGTTTGAGGTTGCTGTGAGCTATGACATCATAGTACTCTACCCAGGGGGACAGAGTGAGACTCAGTCTCAAAAACAAACAAAAAACTGAAGATGCCTGAGTCTTCAGGTGCAGTATTTCGAGGGTTCTGGAAATTTGGTGCATCATTCCTTACTTTAAAATCAAGAGATGAGTCTTAGTCATCTTTAAAGCCTGGATTTAACCAATAAAATTATGTGACTTCTCTCGCAGCTGTGGGGAAAGCTTTAAAACTTGACATAGTCCGCGCTTCTGGTCGGGGTGTACCGCACAGTTTCCCATTCACTGTGCACTCCGCCCTCCCAGCCTCACACTGCAGCGGTCTGCCCAGCTTTCCGACTCAGTCGCGAGCCAGTATTTGTCTCTGTTGTGCTTGGTGATGGTAGGTTCTTTAACATACATATGAGATTGTTTGCTTACTTGAAAATCATGGACTTCAGGAGTGCCAGATTAACCATACTTAGGCGGGAACAAAGACACCCTTTAAAAGCACCTTTGAATTGTTTACATTTTCCAAGAAAAGCGTTCAGAAGTGTTATGGTTCATTCCTACTCTCACTCCGTGTTTCTCAACACAGACCAAAGCCCAGGACAGGACAGGACAGGTGATAGTGGAGCAGCTTCCGAGACTCAGGCTTCCACCCTGTGATGTGTAGACTCTCTTCCTCTGCCTCCATCCCTTTCTCCCCCTTCTCTTCCTTCCTTTCCTTCTGGATTATGAATGACCAATTGTAAACCAAAAGTGTAATTTATACTGTGAGATATTAGCTGATGTTACCTAAACAGTGAGAAGGGGCCTATTGCTGTATTTACAGCTCTTTCTTTCTCTTAAGTTGTTTTACTTACACGACCTTGGTTATTTTCCCTGGCGAAACATCGCTTTACCCTGTGTAAACTGTAATATAGCAACTGCTTTATACGCACGTGTCACAAGTGTCGCGACACTGACTAAACTGCTGCCCTGTAGGGACGAAGGACGTACGTGAAATTCCTTCACCACCAAGTAACTCTTTGAACAGCACATGGTTGGGGACTGGGGGCCCCAGGGTGTTGGTTCAAGGGTTCAGAGTTTCAGGTGGACAGGAGGAGGAAGTCCTGGGTCCATTGTGCAGCATGGTGGCACACCGTGTCCCTGGCAGTAGTACAGAGAGCAGGTCCTGCCTGTCCTCACCCCCCAGATGATGAGTGTGTGAGGGGGGATGTGCCACATCGCGTTTCATCATCCCACAGTGCACACGTGTTCAAAGCAGCATATTGTAGACCATGAGCATGGGACTTAGTAATTAGCCAATAACTCCCCACCCCCGCCTGAGGAAAAAAAACAGTTTCTGGGCATCTTCACCAATAGTTTGCTGATACTTGAAAGAGATCTATTGTTCTTTTTTTTTTTTTTTTATTTCTGCCTTAAAAATACTTAGAGACATTGTCACTGGAGATTGATCACGCAGTGGTTTTAAATAGTAAAAACTCAAAACCCACGTGCATGCCATTGTTTGGAAGCTGCTGAAGTAACTCACCACACACAGTGCGCCCTACCAACTGCTCACCCTGGGGTGCTGTCCTGGTTGACGTGAGAAATGCTATGTTACTAAGTGGAGAAAAAGCAAGAAGGCAGGTCACCTTGAAAAGTGCAATTTAGTTTGTAAACGGATCCACCTGAACACACAGGCGCACGCATACGTGCGTCTGCTCGGGGGGCACTGCGTGGTGGGGTCTCAGCCGACTTTTACTTTCAGCTTGGTGCCTACAGTTTGAAAGTTTTTTTTTTCAATAATATGAATTTCATAAGTGGAAATAACTCAGAAAATTAATCAGATTTTCAGGGGGGAATTCTAAACAGTAATAAATGTAGGCTTAAAAGTAGATTTGCCTATTTTGCTCTGTATCAGTAAAACAGAAAGGCTTCCTGTCGTCCTGGGGGCCTTTCTGTGTCTCCCATCTCAGGAGTTCTTGCTCTGGCTGACATGAGTGCCTGGGTGTAGTTATTTTCACCCCAACAAGAAGGTCCCGGGCAATGTTCTCCTCTCCACCCTTCCTCCCGGTAGGACCAGTAAGATCTATGTGATCTCTTCAGTATATTTTTGTCTTGGTGAGTGATAATGATATTACAAATGCCATGTGTAAGTTGTATGTTATATATGCCTTTTTGTAAAGAATACCATATCTGAATGGAATGTATTTTCTTTTCAACCTAAAGCAGCTGTTGACTTGGCTTCTGTATTTCTCTCATTCTTTCTTAGAACATCTAATGAAATTGTCTATGGAAGAACTGGTAGAATTTCTTCAGGAGACCCTGGCAAAGAATTTTTTCTTTGACGATGACTTTGTAGTAGAACAACTTCAGATTTCCATGGCAGAACTGAAGCGGGCAAAATTAGACCTTCCAGAACCTGGTAAGAAATACCTCCCCACCTTGTATTTACACAGTAATTAATAGCAGAGCAACTCAAGTTGTTCCCTTCTCAAAGCATAAGCAAGATACTATCCCACCAGCTGCATGTGACTCTTTTTCTTGTTTTAAGGCCAGACAAGTAAACATAATTAAATCTGCCTCTCTTAATGGAACAACTACTGTTCCTGCTTAAGTTTCGAAATTTGGTTGCTATATAATACTGCCCAGCAGAAGTAACCCGGGTGTTTTAAATAAGCATAATAGTGAGCACTTCTGTTTCCATCATCTTGCTTGGTGAAACCGTACATACTAGCAAAGCATCCACAGCCCCGTGTTGTAGAGGAAGGAACTGACACTTGAATAGGAGGCTGCAGGGCCAGACAGCGGAAGGAGACGAGGGGACACCTTCCGGCTGCTGATCCAGGGCCACTTGCTGTGTTTCGCAGTGTAGATAAATACTTAAGTGCTTACTCAGGCGACCCCGGGCCTTCTTCCAAAGCCATAGCTGGTCATTACACCAGCTGGCTACGCCACAGTTGCCTTTGAGTGTGGTTTTCCCCCCAGAATGCCCCTCACATTTCTCCACATACCTCTGTCCTCAGCTAATCTTAGTTTTCAGGACTTGGCTTAAGCATCACCACCTTCCTGACTTCTTCTCAGTCAGTCCCCAGCCTACCCAGGCCTGTAGAATTTGGTCACCTGTGTTTCACACCTGAACCATCTCACTGCTCAGGCTTCCGCCCGAGCACCTCCAGTGCCCGAGCATTTGTCTTAGTGTGTTACTGTTAGACAAAAAGTGTTTCTGTGACGGTGGCCCTGTGTCTGCCTCAACAGCACCCAAGACAGTGCCGGCATATGGTAGGCATGCAATTTATATTTTTTTATGAAATAAAGTTCTAATGTATTTTTTAGATAACAAAAACCTACTGTGTACAAAAAGTTAGCACAAGGGGAGAGGAGGGGAGGGGGGAGGCTGGGTGAAGAGAGGAGAATTGGTGGGACCACACCTATGGTGCATTTTACAAGGATACATGTTACATCTACTAAGTGTAGAACATAAATGTCTTAATAACTAAGAAAATGTAGTGAAGGTTATGTCAACCAGCTTGATGAAAGTATTTCAAATTGTATATAAAACCAGCACATTGGGCTCGGCGCCTGTGGCTCAACCGGCTAAGGCGCCAGCCACGTACACCTAGGGTGGCAGGTTCGAATCCCCAGCCCGGACCTGCCAAACAACAATGATGGCTGCAACCAAAAAATAGCCGGGCGTTGTGGCGGGCGCCTGTGGTCCCAGCTACTTGGGAGGCAGAGGCAGGAGACTCGCTTGAGCCCAGGAGTTGGAGGTTGCTATGAGCTGTAATGCCACGGCACTCTACCCAGGGGGACAGCTTGAGGCTCTGTCTCAAAAAAAAAAAAAAAAAAACCAGCACATTGGACCTCATAATTGCATTAATGTACACAGCTATGATTTAATAAAGAAAAAAAGGCTAGCACAAGGCAATTTTGGGGGTGGCAAAACCATTTTGTCTCCTGATTTCATACATACACACAAACAAGTCAATGTATATTATTGTCTTTTGAGGGTTTGGGTGGGTTTTCACATTTGTTATGTAATATAAACTGATGTTACACATTCTTGACAGTTTTTATGTGTGTACAGGAATTGAAATGCTAGGATATATGAAGTGCAAATTGTAAAAATTCAATTATTCCACAAAGATCTATTGAGCTGGCGTTGCACTGAATAGGCTTGTAGTGAGAGAGAGGTTTCTGGAGTTGGCTCCTTTCTGCTTCCTCCTCTTTCCAGTTTAATCTTCTGGAAAAAAAAAGCCTGTGAGCCTAACCACAATCAGATTTTTAAATGTTCTTTTATTATCATAGCTATAATTTAGAAAGCAAACTGTATTTTATTTTTTAAAAAATTTTTTAGAAAGCAAACTATATTTTAAACATCATATTGAAGAACCGATTAGTATTTGAAGTATATATTCTTCAAGCTAATGTTACATTAAAGAGAAATAAAGTCATATTTACAATCAGTAATCTTGTGAGAATATTTTCAAACTCAGTTGGACTTAATATTTGATCCAGATGGGGACAGGATAACTCTTTCCCAGAATAATAAAATAATTTTCATGACAGCGGCCCCCTACCATTTCTCACTGAAACTCTTAGAGCAGTCAGAGTTACATATATTATATTCTGTTATTGCAGTTTAAAAGTAGAATAATGCTGCTCGCAGAGCACTTAGAGCACTTTGCTGTAATTACGTGCCTCTTGGGCACAGAAAGCTGAGGAACCTCCGAGGCCATTTATCTGCACACCTTGTAGTTGAGTGCAGCCTCCACTGGGTGGCGACAGAGACCTGAGCAAGATCAAGGAAGGATTTCTGAAGGCCTAAGAGGGACTCTCAGCCCTTATCCTTCTAGGGACTGTAGGAGTATTCTTTTGTTAGCTTTCTTTAAGGAAAAACTAATAGATATTTTTGCTTTTATTCTAAAATGTATCTAGTTAGATAATATATAATTTTTTGGAGCATATTTTTCTAATTGTTAGCACTGCCCTAAAAATATTGCTCATGTGACTGAATTCTGGTGAAAAATATCTTCAGTGTGGTATTTCCATATTTTCCCAGGCAGCCTCTTTTACACCTGATAGGAGTTGTGGTCCGTCCTGACCCTCCGAGAGGGAGGGCAGGAAGTCTTCATTTCACTCCTGTGGGGCACTGAGAGGGCCAGACCAGCGCCATTTTGTTGTTTTGCTGGAAACTGTTTGGGGGGGATTTCAGGCACAACAGCACCAAGTTTAGGCACACAGCTGTACTGGAAGGGGCTGAGAAGCCCAGCGGGAAGCGTGGGCACGGGTGAGTGCGCGCTTCCCAGGGAGAGCTGTCTCGACTCTTTTAGTTACAGTCTGTTGCTTTAGAGTGAAAGAGGCATTTAACTGAAAGGACGACCAGGATGGCAGTACGGGGTGTGTGTGTGTGTGTGTGTGTGTGTGTGTTCATAGTAGTTCAGCAGGTTGAGCTGCCTCTAAAAAGAGATTGCACCAAAATGTTGGATGCTTTGTTTGGGTTTACTTCTGTGGAAACGGACAGAATGTTTAGAAGCACATGGAAGTGTTACTGGCAGTGGCATCTGGCCCACTTCCAGGTCTGCAGTATCACTTCAGTTTCAGGGAAGGGTGAATAATTAACCTTCAGAAAGGAATCACCTGCACTATGAAGCCAAGTAGATTTTTCCGTTTACTGCCAGAATGACAGTACTCAGGTCCCTGGGCAGAGTCCCTGGGTCTCGGCACTGCTGCGGGGTTGAGCCTCTGCCTGTCCACTTGTGAGACCCAAGTGTGTCCCTGCTCGGACAGAAGAGTGCCCGGGAGCAGAGAGCAAGGGCTGCTGCTCAGGGCGTCCCTGGGGCCTCCTCCTCTGCTGCTCTCCGTATCTCCCCTCTAATCCTCTCCAGTGTCACCTCTCCTGACCCCTGCTCCCCTCTGCCCTCTCCCCACCCTTCTCTTCTCCCTTCCCTTCTTTCCACCTCTTCTTCTTCCTCTTCCAGGTTTTACCCTGGTGGGCCCCAGGATCATCTCTTGAAATGTCAATAGTATGTGTACATTGATCATTGAGAATTCCTGGGAATTTTACACTATTCAGAGGTGTGTTACAAGGTCAGACAGTTAAGTTTGTGAACTCGCCACCATGCACTTATGTTAGGAGCACAATACAGACAGCTTGGTGGGTTTCATAGCTTTTTGGACGTTTTGAACAGCCACAGATTCTTTTCCCAGTGTGCATTTTAGCCTATTGCCCATTCAATAAATGAAAGTTTTTCTTTTAATTATAATATTATGAGTAGATACACAGAATACTACTGAGCACTCTTCTTAGAGAAATTTCTGTTTATTGGAATGTAAATACTTTTCCTAAAAAATTAAATCTCCCAAGCATGCCCTGCACACATCTTTGCATTTTGTTTTGTGTTTGAAATCACCACCTTAGTCTCTCTATTACTTCTCAATTTTTAAATTCTTTCTCCTAAGAAATATGTGTCTTCTATCCCTAATCCCAGATTTTACGTGTGTCCAGTCAGGTTTTTACTGATAATGTGCCTTTTCTGTATTCAGAGGATCTCAGAATGAAAATCTGTGGATATCACAACCCGGGGCCGACGGTGCCGGGGCAGTGTTATCCCCAGAGACAGTCCACTTTCCCTTGTTCCTCTTTCTTCCCCACCCTCTTCCTTCCATCCCCCTCTAAAGTTTTATTTTAACCTCATCCTCGGTGCTGGTCCTTTAGTAACCTCGTTACCATCCTTGGCCTCGCTTTCTCATCCTGCTGGATGACTCTCTGTGTCTGAAGGAGGAAGGCCCGGGGCGGCCCAGGAGCCGCAGACCCGCCTGCGGGATGCAGGCTCTGCCGCTGGGTGTTTGCTTCCGTGTTGTCAGTAGAAGAGGTTTGGGATGAAAGCCTGGGATATGCGCTGCTCCGGTGGTGAAGTAGAGGAATGCCATCCACCTGGTTTATTTGGGTAAAAGTAAAGTGTTTTGACAAAGTCTTATAAATACTTGGGAACAAGCTAAAAATATTGCTTGCCAGTCATACACCAGAACTGGCAGTGAGTTCCCTGCACACATCTTTGCATTTTGTTTTGTGTTTGAAATCAGCACCTTAGTCTATTACTTCTCAATTTTTAAATTCTTTCTCCTAAGAGATGGAGATCATCCTATCTGTAGTATGAGTATTCTGTGCCTTTTAACTTTATATTTCTTCATTCTAGCAATAGGAGTTGTGTTTATAATAGAAAAATTATGTAGTAGGCAAACAAAAATAATTATCGTTTGGTCTAAAAACATTTGTGTGTGTATTAACCACTCCTAGTATTTATTTTTATAGTCATTTTGTTGACCTTTGCCATATACCATTCATGATAAATGGGATTGTACTGTTTATAACTTGCCTTTCTACTGGTTAATGTTAAAGATACATTAACATGGCAGTAGACT